GAAAGAACGAATGCCCGCTTAACAACTTCCTCGGCCCACCTCTTCTTCGACCGAGCGCCTCGGGCTTGCGGCCGCCGCCCGGCGGACTCTCCGATCGGAAGGTTCTGGCCCAAAATGTGCTTCTCTATTACGTCTCCGACCGGAGACTCAGAGAAGTTTACTTACCGCTTCTTCTCCGACTAGCACGACCAAGATCGATTGGAGCCATCCGACCGGGGTTCCCGCGCCGGAAGGGACTGGGGCGAACGGAGAAAGCAAAGGCACAAAGTCAAAACACAAGATCAGACTATACCTCAGACGTCAAGGGAAACAAGGTGCTTCAGAACCGACCTGACACAAACAGCATGGGAGGTACCGACATTTGTGTTTACAGTATTGTAGGCGCCGACATTTATGTCTACAGTATTATAGGCGCCGCTGGGGCTCCCATACGGCAAAAAGGCCCCCCACATGCCTCTGGGCATCGATAGTGGGCACCAGGATTCACCATATCTGGTACACGTGGTGGGGCTCCTCATATCCTAACAGCATTTCGCAGGTACCAACGTCCACCCTTCCTGAAGAAGCCAACGCAACCCCCCATGTGCACCTGACGTTCTATAGCAAACATCAACAGTGTTGTGGGCGCCTACCATTATCTACTCCTCATCGGCATGGGCATCAAGACTTCATAACATCCGTACTCTCTCCCTCTCACCTGTAAAGCCACCCCCTTTATCTATAAAAGGGGATGGTCTCCCTCCAAAAAAGGAGATCGATTTCCCAGAGGTCCACTTCTTCAAGCTCAGGCTCACTAGATCGATAGCTCAAAAACCCTTCAAGCACACGCTTGAACACCTAGCTCATAGCAGAGTTCCGGTCGCCCTCGGCCCTTCCGGTCGGACCCGACCGGGCCACTCGTACACCCCTCCTTTTTCCTTCTCGTTTGTAACCCCACTACAGACTTCGAACACCTAGGCTCAGGAATAAAGTCACCAACAGACCCACACTGGACGTAGGGCACGTTGCCCAAACCAGTCTAAATCCTATGTCATTGAGTTTTAGGCCACCTCCGATCACAACATACAACAAAACTATAAATATTCACTAGTTGGTCACTTTCTATACCGACACTAGTGCTATAAATACCCTTGTCGGTGCTACATTTACAAGAAGCCAAAAGGCACAAGAAGAAAAAGAAGTAGTACCACTCTCTTTAGTAGCTTTAGTAGTTAGGCTAGTTAGTGGGAGTTAGAGTCAAGTCAAGCTTTGCTCAGGATCTGGAAATAGTTAAATAGTTCAAGGAGTCTGGTATAGCTTTGTATCTTTCTCTTCATAAGACATTTACCTTATTCAATATATTCCTTTTTATTTTACTTAAGTATTTTATTCAGGTCCTACTTGCATTGTGTAGTAGTCTTTATCTCTAGTTTAGACCATAGTGTTATAATCTTTTCCTTGTTTAGTATAATTGGTTATCTCATAGCACGGATTCTTCATCCCTTAGTAGATGCTCTAGTCTAATCTTTTATGTGGGTTAGAGTAGGATCATATAGTGTAAGCGTGGTGCTTATACTATTGCGTACCTTAGTCTGCAGCTAGCCCCATGGATATTGTTGTAGTTAGTAGGTGGTGATAGCCTTGCCTATCCTATGTATTTCACTACGTTCAATCTAGTTCTTAAATTTTAGGGATCAATTGCGAGTCAACATTTCTCACCCTTTCTGTTGGTGTTTGGGCCATACCCCAAAGTGATATTAAATCCTAGCTTGCTATTTCTTGGCTTGGTTATATCTCTACAGTTTCGTACTAGAGTTGTTCTTAGTAGTGGAAGTATCATAGGATCCTTGTACTAACTGGTTGTCCTCCCACTAGCTACACCATTTATCTTAAATACCCTTATGTTCTTCTGTGTCACACTAATCTTTTATTATGGTTACCTCCATCTACATTTGGGTAATTGTTGGTAATATAGTCACTAGAAATCATATCAATCAATTATCTTAGCTATACGCTTTCCCTAGGGATATAAATACGATACCTAGAAATACTCCGGCGGGTGAAGTGTTTCACTGATATTCTATGCGTTTGTAGAATTATCCATTTGAACGTAAGAAATATCAACAACCATTTCTAGCATCGTTGTCGGGAAAAGCATTGGCCTAAGATATTGATTAATATTTTAGTGATTCAGTTATCATTCAATTGACCGTTCCTCAATGGGCTTATCTTTGCGCTGTCTTCTTTCACAAAGCAGGGTAGTGCATGATTGGTTTCGACTTGCCTACAAACTTTCAATAAAATCCAAGACACGTCTGAGAAGGATTCGATCTCAAGTCGTCCCTCCTCCATATACCCTCTCATCATCTAATACAGCCTTTGTGGATAACTTACCACTGCTCAACACTATCATGTCCAACAAGACCATCCGCGATTTGTCAGCTCCATCTGCTGCTTCCAACGTGGCCACTGGCCCAACTATCATCACCGGAGACACGAATTTCGAGCTCAAGCCGCCATTGATCATGATGGTACAAGGTAGTCCCTTCTTTGGGAAAGCTCATGAGGACGCCAACGCACACCTGCAACACTTTCTTGAGATTTGTGGCAGGTTCACCATCAAAGGAGTCACTCAAGAGGCCATCTGGCTACGTCTCTTCTGGTTCTCACTGATCAACAAGGCTCTCCCCTACTCATTCTAGGGATGGTTTTTGGTTCCCCGCTAATAAAGTTCTCCAGTGATGCTTGCACCAACATGGAGATCAACTGATTTCGGAGGTATTGATCCAGTGGCCTACCATGCCAACATCTATGTCTATTTGCGTGGAATTGGAGAACAACATCAGGATGCAATTTCCTGCTACTCTAGTTATGGCCGCCACAACTTCCACCTTCAAGAAGAGCACATGTTCCTCTCGAGGCTACCTCACCGCCCGAATCCACAAGTGTAAGATCTGCCTCATGTTTCATCTCTTTTCATTCATTTCCCCATTGCTGGATCTAGCCAATTTTGCTGTTCTTTATTTTTGAAGAAAAGCCTGCTTTGGTGTTCCTCTATGTTGTTTGGCTCTATTTCCATATGTCCTATGTTATCTATGCCTATGGATTGTTGTGTCAAGACCATGCTTAATCTACTAGGTGTCCAAATAGTGTGATTTGGTATGTAGTATATAGGAATGTTTTATGAATCAAAAGCTGGATAACATGTTGGTCGTCATTATTTACATTGTATGGATGTGTGCTTGTATGCATCTCTATTCCTGATTATGTTACTTGCTTATGTGCTTTTTGTTAGTGTGTTGTTGAATTCAATCTTGCAAGAAATGATGAATGAAAGCATTGGTTCGTGTTTTTTATTATCCATGACTGGTAACAATGTTTTCCAAACTGATCCCAGTGCTAATTGTTGATTTTGTTGCATTGTACAACAGTTGATTCGTATGGAGCATATTATTTTTTTGTCATTTATGTCTTATATTTGGGCATTGCCTCAATTAGAAAGCTCACTGTGTTTACTTTTTTATTTGTTCATCCCCTATTTTTTGTTTACCAAATACTAAATGAAAGCTATGATTTTGTTATCTGACTTCTATTTTAGCTATCTTTTTCTTTTCAGGAAGACAATGTCGGTGCCGGCTCATTTTCACCCCCAAGGAGCACTTCTTCGGCTGATTCCCACCTGCGGTGAGCTCCACTGCTCTCTTCTCTTCGTAGGCTATGAGCTAGGGCAGAGCCCAGTGGGAGACAAAACTAGGCTCCCCCCTTGGCCCAGATAAATTTTGATAGCCCACAAATTTTCTTGGCTTCTTTGGACTTTAGAGCATCTATATAGAACAGCACAAAGTTCAGAGCAAAGAGCCTACCCAGGTAGCCCACTAAGTTTCTTGGCTTCTCGGGACCTTTACAGCACCTGCAGGCTGCAGTACAACACAAAGTCCAAAGCAGAGATCCCACTATGATATATATATAGAGAGAGAGACATTGCCACACAACATAGGACAGTCCTTGGTTCACTTTTTTTTTTTTTGAAAAACAAATCCCCCCTACAATTAGTTGCACCCTCCGCCGTTGGCTGTGAGTGTGCCCGTATCAAATCTAACGGTTACTGCGGACTCCAACCACAGCACCAGGAGCAAGCTCCTTGTCAGCTCCAGTTGATTTGGTTGGGTTATTACCTACTCATTGAGACACAAGTAATGGAGGGTGTTGCAAGCGGATGTATGGGATCCACAGGTGTTTAGGGGATTAGATAAAATTGAGAACATATTTGTGATTACTACCTACTCGTCGAACAAGCCCTAGGTTATCTATTTGTTCCATATTAAAAGCAGATGCTTAGAAATGGCTTGAGCTTTTGTAACTTAATAATCACATAATCTAATAATCTATCATTTTTGACCATTTTGTTTGAGCCTGGTAATTATATTGCCTTGTTGTAATCTTTAGCTTCGGTAGCAATGCAATGCAATGGCACACCTAGTTTGCTAATAATAGTAAAGAGCAAAGTGATTCTTTCATCTTTTTTTACTTTCCAAAGTGCACTCGTGTCTATCCTGATCCATATTTGATCTAGACTCATGACCAGTAGTGCTCCTACGAGTTGAACCGCGTGTGTTTGTGCGTTCACCGCTGGTATGGAGTTCGATTTAAATACATATTAGAACAGATGACACAATCATTGCATAAATCTTCGAGTAACAAGTCATTCAGGTGACTGTGCAATAAAGTATATGTTCGTTGTAACGTACGGCGTATGTGCTAGTAACGCTTAAGGGAATTGACAGAAATTCTCAACTTACTCATACATGTGCTTATTACCCACCACCGAAGTTAAGAGTCCGGCCGGCATGCGTACGTTCAGTGGCACTGGCACACAACAAAGATCATCGACACAACAAAACTACAGTCCACGCGACAAAATAAAAAGCGGGGTTCAAACGTACACGTCCAAAGGACATGCATGCATGCATGCGAGAAAATCATTGATCGACAACGACGGCGGCCGAAGAGGTATGCAGCTCCTAGCTCGCGGCGTAGCCCTCTTCATCGACGGCTGGCGCGCTCGAACCCAGCTCCACCGTCGACGCCGGCGACGAGTATGAACTCGGGTTGACGACGCCGCAGTTGAGACGGACCTCCCCGCACGTCCCCGTCTGAACCTGGATGCGGCCCATCTTCACCATGGCCGCCGCGAATTTCTCCTTCCACAGCGTCTCGTTCGCCGCGAAGCTGCTCACCAGCGCGGCCATCTGCGTGTTGACGCGCAGCTGGTTGTCGGAGAAAAGAGCCCCATGCCGCGTGGCAGGAGCTTGTAGTAGTTGTTGTCCAGCACGTTGGGCGTCCCGGGGTCCATGGCCGTCGTGATCGGCGTCGTCTGCGTCGTGTTCGACGGGCACAGCGCGCGTAGCAGCGCCGCGTACGACGAGCTCAGCCCGCGTCCACCTGCACACATACACGACACGTGTCACATGCGTCATGCGTAGTGAGTGGTGAATTGGTGGCGATGCATGCAGCAAGCTAGTTATTAGCGTCAGGCATGTCGGCGGCGTACGATTGCCGTAGGGGGGTTCGCGCTTGTGTTCCAGACGCGCTGGAAGAAGGAGACGCAGAAGGAGCGGCCGACGGTGTGGGCGCCGGAGAGGACGACCATATCCTCCAAGGTGAGGTCCTTGGCCGCGAACTTGTCGATGAGGGTCTGCGCCGTGGAGGTGGGCGCGGGCAGGTCGACGGTGTCCGACTCGTTGGACACGCGGCCGTCGCGCCGGCCCGCGGGGACCTGGTACGAGACACTCCCGGTGAGGCTGATGCTGTCGCGGGCGGCGAAGGCGACGATGTCAGCGCACGAGACGGTGCGCGGGCAGCTCTGCTCAACGGCGGTCTTGGCGGCGTCGATCACGTCGAAGCCGCGGAGGCTCGGGTTGTTTGGGATGGCGTCACGCTCGGTCTGGCCGCCGCCAGGGTTCACGGTGAGGAGGACGGATGCATCACAGCCCTGCACAGTAGTGTTGGAAGACGAAGGTCAGTCAACCAACAAAGAACACCTCGTTGATTGGCACCAAACAAATCTGACTTGTATAGATTTCTAGTTTATTCTAAATCAAACTATATATTATATATCATAAGATTAGATAAATTTATAGGGAAAAATAATACTATCTAAGATATCACTGAAGCATCATTAAATAGATTCCTTGTGGCATATATTTTCATAACTTACTTATAGGTGTTAATACACTTTTTATATTTTTTGTCAAATTTACGATAGTTTGACTTAGAATGATATTAAACTTTACTCGATTCTTTTCAAATTGTGAGTCATTTTAGTTTTATTTTAAGTCAACCTTGTATAACTTTAATCAAGTTTATTAAAAATATACTAAGATTTACAATATTAAATAAACAAGCTATCAAATGTATTTCATGGTGTATCGAATGAATCTTGTTTAATGTTATGGATGTTTATACATTTTTCTACAAACTTAGTCAAAACTAGAGAAGTTTAACTTATAACAAAACTAAAGCGACTTATAATTTGTAATGGAGAGAGTAGATATGAGATCATATAGTGGTTGTTACTCAAACAAGCTATGTTTGCGAAATGGTAATTGTCCTCCCATTTTAACCACAATCCCCTTAGGTCACTAATAAGCACGGTATAAGGAAAACGTCTTCAAAATGTTGTTGTTCAACAGTTTCTGCTCGATATCTTGCAAAGTACTCCATCGTTCTAAATTATAAGTCATTTTGGTTTTTAAGCACGAGGAGCAATGTACCTAGTTAGATACAGAATTCTCTATCTTCAAACAGGTATCACTACCAGAATCCTCAAATTTGCCGAGTGTTTTTATGTTTGCCGAGTGTATTCCCTCGGACACTCGGCGAACAAGTTTTTTGCCGAGTGCCGCGCTAAAAACACTCGGCAACACAGGGCGTTTTGCCGAGTGTAAAAAAAACACTCGGCAAAGAGGTGGTTTGCCGAGTGTTAAAAAAACACTAGGCAAAGAAATAAAATCTTTTCTGAAAAGAAAAGAAGAAAAATGATTTTTTTTTGCGAGTGCTTAGATATGGAACACTCAGCAAAAAAAGAAGAAAAAAAAACTTTGCCGAGTACCCCATCTGGGACACCCCTCCCGTCCCCACCCCTTCTCTCTCCTCCCGGCCCCCAGCGCCCCTCTCCTCCCGACGGCGCCGCCTCCCTCCCCTACCTTCTTCTTCCCGGGCTGCCCCTCCCCTCCCGCTTCCCAGCACCGCCTCCCCCCGGTGGGCGGTGCTGCCCCCCCCTCCCTCCCTCCCTCCTCCCATTGGCGGCTGGCCCCTCCACTTCGTCCCCTTCTTCTTCCCCGCCGGTGGCCGGCCCCTCCCATCCCTCCCCTTCTTCTTCCCCGCTGGTGGCCGGCCCCTCCCCTCCCTCCCCTTCTTCTTCCCCGCCAGATCCGGCCCCTCCCCTCCCCTCCCCCCTTCTTCCCAAGCGGTGGTGGAGGGGTGGCCCGGCGTTGCGGGTGCGGCATGGCGGCGTGGCTTTGTGGGCGGGGCGTGGTGTGGCGCGGTGGAGCTGCTTCTCACCCTCGCGGCGCCCGGATCCATGGCGCGGTGGAGCTGCCTCTCACCCTCGCTGCCGGCTACGACCTCTCGAGGTACGCCCTTCATCTCCGCCCCCTAAATGCCCAAGAAATCCTCAGCGCCGCGCGGATCTGTTGACGGTCTGTTTCTTTGTCTGTTGTTTGTCAGTGCCGTGGAGACTCTGGTGCCGGCGCGTTTCTTGTTCGGTTTGTTCGCCCCGCGGGTGTTTGACGAAATGCTTGGCCGGTTCTGGTCGTGTTGCAGCGCCGAGGTCCAGGCGGCGGAGGGGACGGCGGTGCTGGTGGTGCGGGAGTGGTGTCGGCGTGTCTTTTTTTTTTAAAGTTTGCCGAGTGTTCTTTGGGCACTCGACAACTTCTTTACCGAGTGCCCGACAAAAAACACTTGACCAACTAGCGTATGCCATTAACAAGTTTGTCGAGTGTCGTTTGCCGAGTGTCGTTTGCCGAGTGTTTTTGAGACTTCACCGAGTGCCTCTGACACTAGGCAAACCCCCTGTATCCGGTAGTGTATTAAGGTGGCCGATCTTATCTACAATCACGTAAGTGGTACTGCTACCCACGGTAAGGAGAAAGAAATCCTGGATCCTACTTCGATACTTGATCTTGAAGCAGTTACATGCTTCCCAGCATTCCAGCACTATATCTAGACATATAACAAAAACATATCTAGAAAAGCCAATGTGACTTATAATTTAGAACAGAGGAGTAGAAATTAAACATTCGATTTCACATAGTATATAAAAGCAGTACAGTGATAAAATGTTTCATATTTCTTCCTACTACAAACAGCTATTATAGTATGTTATTACTTGTACGAAGTGTCTGAGGTTTGCAGGGCAATACTCCTACTGTCATGCATTTGCTACTTCACATTAAACAAGATATACTGGTACCAGCTAGGAAACATGAATGTTTATGCTTCTGTCCTTTAGTTTGGTTGTCTTAATTTTGGTACTATCATCCAGGAATGTAAGCATGCTGGGAAGACAAAAAAAAATAGAGAGTGAGATCTCGATTCGTGTCATAAAGGTTATTCTTGGTGCTCAAAGATAAAAAAAGGTTATTCTTGGCAACAGTTGCAAGCAGGGAATATGCGTTGCCTTCCAAGAAAGAAAGCAGCAGAGCAAATGTATATATGCGTTCACTTGGTTTTGGGGTTTTTTGCTTTGGATACTTTGTCTCTTTGTCTCGAGAAAACAACTGTCGCTTTTCTGCTTTGCAATATACGTACTGTAAAAGTCCGTATCATGTATATCGTTGTACAAATAAATACTCTATACGTTCATAACCACTACGGGTTATATTTTTATAATTCGAAGAATATGAATTCCAGGCCACGCAAATTAAGTTGATTTAAATGTTGAATCTCTTTTTAAAAGACATTATGTGTGCAAGTCACAAGAACTGTGTTTTAAGTAAGATTATTTTTCATTCATTTTATTTCGCTCTACAAATTCCTACGTCTTTTAAGCATTGCCATTACGGCATGGGCAACCACATCCCAAGTTTCAGCTCATCTTTCCATGTACTACGTCCACTAGGTAAAAAGCTGCATGTGGTAATAATAAATTAAATCAAAACAAAAGCGAGGCACTAAATTAAGTTTTGTTACCCTGACAAAGCAGTCGTGGAAATGGAGGCGGATGAGGCCGGCGGCGATGCCGGCGTCCTTGGCGAAGGCGGCCGCGACGGCCTGGCGGACGAGAGCCTCGGCGTTGGGGCAGCTGGTGTCGTAGAATCCCACCCGGAGCTGCGCGCGGGCCGTCGCCGGCAGCAGGCATAGCACGCACGCGGCGACGGTCAGCCGGAGGGCCACTCCGGCCGTCGTCGGCTTGCTTTCCTTAGCCATGGCTCCCTGGACGACCCCGTCGCTGCCTAGCTATATGCTGAGCGTAAGTGAGCTCACTGGATGGGGCACAATTCGACGTCGTTTCGTTGGTTTATATAGAAGTTTAGGGGATGGAGGATGATGATAGATCTTGGTGCGCTTGATGATTATTAAAGATTAAAGCAGGTAGGAACATCCTGCTTTCGAAAGAATTCTCACTAAAGCATACAAGCATGTCTGCGTGTCGGAGACGTGATCGATGCACTGCACCTTTAGCAACGCAAGGATCCAAAGCGACGTGTTTTAAGGCGTTTTACAGTGGAAAAAATATTTCTGATGGTCTACTCGACAATCTACATGAAGCGCCCTACTGTGCTAGGGGAACGTTTTCCATGCATATGTTACTTTAGAAGCCAATCAAGCAAGCAAGCAAATAAGCTAGCAAGGGATCTTGACGCCATTGCTAGTTAATAACCCTTTCCCTTGACGAAGCACCAGATATGATGATGCGATGTTCAGAATACAACTGAGAGGAAGTGCAGAGTGCACAGCGGTAGCAGAGACCATCTGACGGTGTTCGTCTGGTCCCTCTCACGTCGAGTATTAAATATAGACTAATTATAAAACTAATTACATAAATAAAGATTAATTCACGAGACGAATCTACTAAGTCTAATTAGTCTATGATTAGTAAATGTGATGCTACAGTAAATATATGCTAATCATGGATTAATTAGGCTTAATAAATTCATCTCGTGATTTAGTCACGGTTTATATAACTATTAGTTTTATAATTACCTCATGTTTAGTTTCCTAATTGACATCCAAAAATTTGACATGACGGGGACTAAACTGAATCCAAACACATAGTAAGGTTGTGGAAGGTAGAGGAATCAGGGACACGTGAGATTCCAGAGGACGAAGAGAGAAGACACGCAGAGGAGCAACAAAAGCACAGCATATGCAGGGATGCTGCTCCTACGTTGCTCTTGCTCCTACTCCTTGTAGTCCATCTCCTTTTTTTAGAAGGTGTAGTCCATCTTCATGTCAAAAGCCACCGTGAAGTTGGCACAGCCCACAGCCCATATGTCAGGTGGCCCAACTGTGTAGATCTGTGTAGATGTGTGCCATGTATGGGAGAAAATGGTACGGATATTTTCCGATCATATTCGGGACCGAATCCGTTTAGGGGGGTTTAAATTTGTCTGTATCCGAGTCCGGATATTCAACATCCGATACCATATCCGTATCCGAATACTCAAATCACATATTTATGATGTCGATATCTAATCGTATCATATCCGGCATGGTTGACACTGTCCGTATTCGAATTCGAATCCGAATCCGAACAGAAATATAAAAACAAATGTAATATCAATGATATCCGTTCGTATCTGATCCGTTTTCATTCCTTGCCATGGTATGGGGCTATGGGCTATGGGCCATGGCCAGTTTGGGCTGTCTGGACAGAAACAATTCTAGAAGGAAGGAAGCAATAGAATTTATACAACAGAAGGCGGCGTCAATGATCAAATCCTTTACTGCTCTTCCTCATCTGCCTTTGATTCTCTCTCTATCTTCCGCTTATAGCATATTAAATTATAATCGTTTCATCGCGGGGATTTTTTATGATTCTTAATCTTGCTAGTTTAAATTTCTTAAACAACAGTCGGTAGAATAAAAGATAATCGAAATGGTTTGTGATAATTTCTATTTATTTTAGAATTCGATTGTAAGGGGAAACAAATGGGGCATAGAGTCAATCTCAGTCTAGAGGTTTACTGATCTTCTTAGACCCCTTGCTTTTGTCGCTGGCTGTATCTCTAGCTCTATATTTCTTGATTATAACAAATCATAACTATCGGTGCTTGGTTTCTTGTCACTATAGTGGTGGTGAACTGACTAGCCTGCTTGGTAGTGCTCATGCCGCCGCTGCAGCTAGCACTACTGAGGCTCTGTTTGGTTGAGCCGTTGCTTCAAAAAAGGTGCTGTGAGCTATAGATTGTAGGAAGTTGTTTTGAGTTATGCGCTATAAGAAAGCTAAAAGCTGTTTGGTTGAACTGTTGTGCCTTTTGGAAAAAACACTATCAGTGGACCCCACATGTCATCTGTGATCCCACATGTTTGTCACTCAATGCATATTTTAGTGTTTTTTCTGTGTGCTTCTCCTTCCTCAGGTCAGCACGAACACGGCGGAGGCCGGCGAGGGGCAACGCTCTGGCGTGGGGTGATGGAGCCCACACACGACAGCCTCGGCCTGGGGACCGGTGAGGAGCCTCGGCTGGAGGGTCGCGCCGGGTGGCCGGCATGGTGGTCGCGGGGCGTCCAGCCTAGGGTCACACTGAGCGGGCACCCTGGTGGCCGCAGGGGCGTTTGGCCTAGGGACTGTGCGCGAGGGACCGACATGGTGGCCGCAAGGGTGTCCACCATGGGAACCGCAACAAGCGGCCACGACGCGTTGGGGCGGCGTCCTTGGGTCGCGTCAAGGGGCGGCTGGCCTCGGGGCATCGCCGGCGAGGCTGCAGATGACGTCGGGGCAGCGCCGGCGAGGCCTTCGGCCAACGGAAGGCACACAGACGGGACATAAGAAAAAACGATTAGTTTTTTCATAACCAGTGGCAGTGAGAATTTCTTCGAAGTCACCCATCTCCACAACCGGTGGAAGCAAGGAGCTGTCGTGAGTTTTATACTAGAATAAAAGCAGCTTTTGGCTCAAAGCGTCTATGGGTTTCCACCCTTTGGCTTGTTTTTAGCTTTTGGGAAAGCCAAGACATGTTGGAAAGTCCAACCAAATGGGCATAATTGCTTTCTGACGAAGACCTCGGTGATTTTGATCAGCTGTGCTGCCATCGATGACAGTACAGATGACCTCCGCGTTCCGGAGCCACGGTGGTGAGTATGCCGCTGTTCAACCTCGGAAGTCAGAAGCCGATCACGCTAAACGGCAAACGCTCACCCAAAGGAATGAAGCGAACAATGGCCCTGTTCGTTTGAGCTTATCAGCTAGAATCAGCCCTATTTTTCAGTCATGGAAACAGTATTTTTCTCTCACACAAAATCAGTCCTATAAATCAACCACAGCAGCAATAAGTCCTGCCAAACAGGACTAATTTTCAGACATACTATTTTTGGAAAAAAATCCCACCTCTTTCCTTTTTGACATCCACTCAACCAAACCAGCCAATGAACTGCATGAGCGCAGCACCTGCTACCGCGCCTCCACCGTCCTGCACGCTTTTTTTAGGAAGGGCTGAGGTCATAAAAAAGAAAACGTTTATTTTAAAATGCTATAAGTTCTGAATGATGTATCTATTTTAAATTTCATCTGCACCATTGTATTCTACGCGACGAGACTAACAAAACTATACCCCACTTGCATATGTTTCGAAGAACTTTTTTTTTTCTAATACCAATTTATGTATATTAACTTATAACATGTAACTTATACCATAAAACTTATAATATATAACTTATACCCATAAACTTATAACATATAACTTATCTCAAACCTCGGAAACACAAAAGTTATGAAACAAATGATATATACAAAAGTTACTAAACACAAAGGAACAATTAAGTAACTTATGCCAAAACTTAAAAACACAAAAGTTATTAAACACAAAGGAACGAATTAACTAATAACTTATGCTGAAACATGGAAACACAAAAATTATGGAACACAATTTATGTATAAAAGTTATCAATCATAACTTGTGCAGATAAGTTATTCTATATAACTTATGTACATGAGTTATTCAATACAACTTGTGTGCAGAAGTTGTAAGTTACTTATGTTATACTCCTTCCGTAAAAAAAAAACGTAATTTTAGCTTTGAACCTGGACATGCGCCTAGGTTTAAAACTAGAATTACGTTTTTTTTGGACGGAGGGAGTAAGTTTGTACACATAGATTGCTATTAGAAAAAAAATTGTTCAAAACATATTAAGTGGGGTCTAGTTTTTTTTCACGTCATCGTGTAGAAAACACCGGTTTTGACGAAATTTAAAATTAATATACCATTCAGAAGTTATAACAATTTAAAATAAATACTTTTTTTTTTGCATATGTCAGTGCTGACATCATAACATGCAAAACGGTACGAAGGGGAGGCACGCCAGTTGAGACGCACGCGGTCGGACCGTTCGCTGGGTCCATTCCCGCTGAGGCTCCGTTCGTTTACACCGTTCTCGGTCAATCCTGGCCAGAAATGCTTCCGGCCCTATAGAAAATATATGGTCAATCCTAGCCGGAACGGTTCCGGGACGTCATTCCCCGGGAACCGAACAGGGCCTGAATGATCACCGGATTGGATTTGGGGTCGGAAGCGTGCATGTATCCGGTGCTGTAATGGTGACAGTGGCCAATGGGTGAGCTATTCGCGTTGTGGGCCGCTATTTCTGCTAACTAATCCCTACGGGTTCGAAAGTGAGCTATATTAATTGCCCAGGAGCATTTTATAAAGGCCCACCGCGCCCGTGAGATGTCCGACTGGAATGCTTTGCGTCCCAATCTCAGTTGGAATCGCTCTTCGCTGAACGAGAAGAGGTCCCTGCAGGGATGGATGGATCACGAACCCTTAAGGATCCACTGTGTTTGTGAAATTTATCTGTCGGGCTTGACTGATATATGGTGCAGCACACAATGGGCCCGGGTAATGCAGCAAGCAGCGCAATGGGCCTCGCCCGCTGAGAGCTAATGCCACAAAGCGGTTCTCTTTTTCCTTTTCTTCTTGAGTTTTTTTCAGACAATTTTTTCTTCTTGAGCAGTTAGCAGTGTAGACATATTATCTCGTCTTATTAGCAAGTAGCAAAATAGACAGGCACAGCAGCACATAAGAACCGGATATTATAAACTTTACCGCTTTGTGCTTACTTTGGATGCGCGTGTCTGTCATGCGTGAATGCAACATCGGCTGACTCGACGAAATCTACAAACGGGGATGTTTAGGAGCGTGCTTTCTCTCTGTGTCTCCCCAATCTCTTTTAAAAATATCTTCCCACTCCCGTGGTTGCTCATCGTG